CACACCGGTGCGGTGACTGACTGCCACACATACTCCTCAAAACATTAGATTCATCCGCGCTGGAGCCGTGCCAGAGTACAACCCGCGCAAGGAAGATAATTCCGCAAGCAACTGCAATTCCAGGTTTTCAAACAGAGATGGCGACAAAGAGGCAAATCTTACGGACTGCAGCTTTAAATACAGTAGTGCTGTTGGCGCCAAATACTAGGTCTATTTTGTAGAGCCAGCCGTCGATTATTCTTATTATTAGACTGAATTGTGTTTAAATAGTTAGTCTTCTTGCCACATGTTTGGTATAAGAATTGCAAAAAGTATTTTTAAACGTCCTGAAACATTTATTAAAAATTATGGAACGGTTAACAAGTGATGATGATGTTTTATGACAACCATACTATAATTTAAACTAATTACAAAAATAGTAATAATAATAATAATAAACCTTAAAAAGTCTGCAACATTTAATACCTGCTACAACATTTGGTTTAAGCATGCTTCTGGCAATTAATGCCAGACATAAACATAGACAGACAAAGTAAGTGAAGTGACATGTGGCCAAGTATGGTGACCCATACTCGGAATTTGTGCTCTGCATTTAACCCATCCAAGTGCACACACACAGTAGCGAACACACACCCGGAGCAGTGGGCAGTCATATTTCTGCGGCGCCTGGGAAGCAGTTGGGGGTTCTGTGCCCTGCTCAAGGGTCTCACCTCAGTCGTGGTATTGAGGGTGGAAGAGAGCGCTGTACATTTTTTATCTTTGATGATGCAGAAAACTAATTATTATTGCTTGTATTGATGTTTTGTATTTTACAACATGTATATTTGTGCAACAGCGGCAGGGAAGTCAACTTTTGTGCGCTTGTTGGAGCGGGTGTCAGAGGAGTGGGAGGTCATACCAGAGCCCATTGGGAAGTGGTGCAATGTACAAAGCACAGAGAATGAGTATGAGGTACAGTATGTCTGTATACAAGATATTTTATTAAGGAAGTGTTTTCAAACTCGGTCTTAAACGTTAACGTGAGTGATTTTTTTTAATAACCTATCCCTGTAGGAGCTTAGCACATCCCAGAAGAGTGGAGGCAACCTGCTGCAGATGTTATATGACAAGCCCAGTCGCTGGTCTTACACTTTCCAGACCTACGCCTGCTTGAGTCGCGTCCGTGCACAGCTTCAGCCTCCTTCTGCCAAACTTCAGCAGGCAGAGCAGCCAGTCCAGTTCTTTGAGCGCTCCGTCTACAGTGATCGGTACAGACATTAAACAGATTGTCTGGAATTTGGAAAAGAGTTTAAAAATGGTGTTAAACTGAAAAAATTAAAAAGTCTTACGTTTTTAATTCTCCAGATATGTGTTTGCCTCTAACCTCTTTGAGTCTGGAGATCTGAATGAGACTGAGTGGGCCATCTATCAAGACTGGCATTCATGGCTCCTCACTCAGTTTGAGTCCCAGATTGAGCTTGATGCCATGATCTATCTTCGTGCTGATCCCGAGGTAACACACAGCTCCTTGCATGGTGCATGGTTCACCTGTAGTAACATAAAAGTGATGTAAATGTGACCATTTTATGATGTATTGATTAAACACATGATCTACAGAGGTGTATGCAGCGTCTTCAGTTCAGAGGACGAGAGGAGGAACAAGGGATTCCCTTGGATTACCTGGAGAAGCTTCATTATAAGCATGAGTGTTGGCTGTACAACCGAACCACAAAGTTAGTGATCAACTTACTATGTGCTGAAACTTGTATTTGAGCTGTTTTTCATTGTTTGAGTATCTAAATGGGTATCTCGTCATATACAGGTTGGATTTTAAGTATCTTAAAGACCTTCCAATACTGGTCCTGGATGTTAATGAGGATTTTAAAAATGACCGAATTAAGCAAGAAGGTATTACTGATAAGGTACGTATACTCTATATGGGTCTGTGGACAAATAGCATAATAAGAATTCTGCCTCATAGTAAAGTGTTTTAGAACTGTCATGTTTCGACATGATTTTACATCGTAAATAAGTTGTTGTTTTTTTTGTTTCCTTTCAGGTGAAGGAGTTTTTGAACACCCTGTAGCCTACAAATATACATTAATTTGTGTCAATCATGTAAACTGGTGATTTATCACTAGTACTCTGGGGATTCATGCCTGTGAATGAATTTGTGATTTTATTTTTTTTAGCTCATTTCATATTTAGCTTGTTGTACATATGTATTTCTTTGTATATTAAAACATCATTTTTACAAAACATTGTTTTAACAATGAAACTCATAAATTCATAAACTCTTCTGTGATGAACAAATAACATATACAGTAACATACAGGAGATTAATATATACGGAATGTTTGGAGACTATTCCGTAAGTGAAAAGTTGACAGTTATTGTTACAGGGTTCTCACAGCCATGGAAAAGCTGGGAATGTTAGTGTTTACTAAAAAAGACATGGAAATAAAATAAAAAAATTCCTCTTGTTATTCTCTCCTCTTAAAGAGTTTGTCTGATAGAAATTACTCTCTTTTTTTTTTTTTTTTGAGTGCAGCCTCTAAAATGATGTTTTAAAATAGAATCTTTTTCCTGTAATTACAAGCAACTGGAAATGTCATGTAAATGAATTGGTCAAATGTGTGGGAAGAATATGTACTGAAAGACGTACAGCTTGAATAGAGAGAGAAAAATAAAATGGTTTCATAACCATTCATTTCTTCAGCTTTAGACACAATTCTCTACACTTTGCCTTATGACTAGTTGCCCAAACTCGCTCCTGTAATACAGGCTGTCAGAACGCTGACTCACTCAGCAGTGAGAACCTGATGGCTCTTTCTATGTTTTTGAGTTCATCCTTGTAATTAAGCTTTCATAAAAAGAAACAGAATTTGGGCAGTCGTGGCCTAATGGTTAGCGAGTCTGACTTATAACCCAAAGATCACGGGTTCGCGTCTCGGTACTGGTGGTGGGGGGAGTGAATGACCAGTGCTCTTTTCGACCTTCAATACCATGACTGAGGTGAGACCCTTGAGCAAGGCACCAAACCCCCAATTGCTCCCCAGGCGCTGCAGCAAAAATGTCTGCTCTGCTCTGGGGCGTGCACGGTGTGTGTTGTTCACCACTCATTGCTGTGTGTGTGCACTTGGATGGGTTAAATGCAGAGTACAAGTTCTGAGTATGGGAGTATTGAGTATTCTGATCTACGTTCAGACCCCGTCCCCCACTTTAACCTTTAAACCTTAAAATTACCCATTTAAATCATTTAAAATTGAAGAAATGTCGCTCTTTTTTTTTTTTTACAATGCTTGTAAATGGTGTAAATGTCAAACGAGCTGTGATATGATGATATATCTGCATGCCATTGAGAAACAATGAAAAAATAAGAATACCATTGTACGTGAAATGTATGCATTTACGTTAATTTTCAATACCATAATCATGGTATTTACATATATGTTAATCTAAGGTTGTATTTGTACTGTATATATTCATATTTTAGTCACAAGTGAAGAGTCTGAATGACATGATGACATGAATTCACCTATAAAACCAATATTTGCATAATATGAAAGTGAAATAAGCATGCAATTTTTAAAAATATCGCCTGAAAAAACTTTCACATGTAAAAAGAAACTAAAACTTTATTATTTAGAATAATGTAACATTATCTTTTAGAAAAATTTAACATTTATAGAATAAAGAGTTCTTCAAATTATAAAGCTGAGTGAAAGCTTTATTTGAGCATTTAATTATCATCTAAACAGTTTATGAACATCGAATTTGGATATTAGAATAGAAAGTTTGAATGTCTCCTCATATTAGTTTTCAGTTTCACCTGCGATGAAACAGCTTTCAATGGACTCAATCATAATAGCATAAAGTCATACATTTTATATGAAAGTGACTCACTGCTTCTATACCAAAATAAGAAGGTAAATATATTTATGCAGACGAATATGACAAAAGTATCCCTATGCAAAATTTAAAAAAAAAGAAAGTAAAATATTGCCACTAGATACAATATATTATAACTCTTCTCCGCATATTTGATAATGTTTACACAATATCAGATACTAATCAAAATAAACTACAAGTCCCATAACTAAATCTTTCACAGAAATCCGGGTATTGCTTCACCCAGGTCAGTCGCACCCTCCTCTAAACTGTTATTGACACAGTTGTCCTAACATGTTAAATAATAAGAGTTGCCTAATATCGGACGCAGAGATGACAGACTTTTAACTATCAACATTAGATATTATATTCATAAAAGAATTCGACAGTTGGTGATGCTATTCTGATGCACCCTCCATTGCATTACAGTAAACATGACACCTCGAAAATTCACAAAACTTCCTAAATATGATTCTGAAAACAAATTAACCTCTACTTTCTCGAAAAAGACAAAAATAGGCGTATCAAGAGGGCGGGAATTAGTGACAAGCGTGCCCGCGTCCAATCGTATTTACTAAATGATGTTTCCTGGCGTTAAATCTTAAAGCCCTCTTGTAAACCAACCTTGACGTCGCGTTGCTTTCGCTCGAGTAGCGTGTGTTGCAGCCAATCGGGTTCCAGTACTTAACTCTCGTGCCCAATAGCCTTCGCATATTTTGAACAGGGGTGGGACAATACACAAATGGATCGAAGTATGGTAGGTTGTTAGAAAGTTAATGGCTTGGGGGAAAGAGATTCTCTTCTCGCTTCAGGAGAGTTTGAGGATTTTTCTGAAGTAAAACGTAATTATTTTATAACAGTATAACCCCAAAGAAAGTGAAGAGACAACATTATCTTCACAAACAGACGTATTATTTAGGAAAGTATGCAGGATGCAGTAGCCGGGACGGCAATGCTGACGGACGGCTTCGAGGACGAGATTGACTCGGTGACTCCGCGTTCCCCTGCGTTAGGGATGGGGGTTGGAGCTACACCAGGAGCCGGACTCGGGGGCCTCGGGATCGGCGTCGGTGGCAAGAAAGTCCGCTTGTTCGGCGAGGCTGGCGGGCCCACCACAGACAGACTTGATTTCAAACTCACAGCGGCCGCAGTGCTGTCGTCAGGCCCCGGATCCGGCAGCGACGAGGATGAGGTGTCTGAGGTGAGAGCGAGTCAGCCAGCAGGAAAGTGTGTGAGTGTGTGTGCTAGCTCACATGCTAACTCTAACGCTAGCCTTAATAGGCTTCATTCCCAACCCACCAAAACCCTGGGATTAATCACCTCATCTAAAGAGGCCGACTTATCACGTCCCATTCTTGGCAACATTTATACAACAACACTCTTGCGCGGAGCGCTGTTTGCAGCCATGAGCGCGTTTCTCCCGACCCACGTTGCGTTTCTAAATGGCTCAAATTCTGGCGAGTTAGCTTAGCTTAGCACGGGCTCAGAGACGAAGGCTGCGATTTGGGCCTAAAGAGAACATCAGGGGGCAACGCCGTCGTCTGCTAGTTAGCCATCCCGAAATCATTTCACCGCATTCAACCACTTGGCACTTCAGTTTACACCCTTTAAAGTGTAACTCGCCACACGTCGCGTCTCAGTGACAGTCATTTTGAAGGATATAGAAATGTCGCTAGCCGGGAAGCTAAGTGGATCTTGCTACGTAACTAAATATTAGCTAGAAATATTAGCTGTTTAGCAAAGCTTATCTGCGTGACGGTACCCTGCCAGGCCTTTGCACTGTGTTGGTAAACTTGGGATCTGACATCTGTGTCATATTTGTGTCTGTAGGTGCAAGATGTTACAACGTTCACATTAATCTGAGTGTCAGCACTAGTACTCGGGCTTCAGTAAATGTATCTCCACTACAGCTTCTGAAATTTCATGTGACGCAAATGTTAAAACGACAAGCTTTAAGTTTAGATTTTTCTTCCTCGGTGCCAGAGGAACAATCGTTTGCAATTATGATTATGAAGTGTGGCGCTGGGTTTCAGGGCGACTTGTCATGCGGGTTTGTCGTCATACACCAAGATGCACCTGTTGGGTCCTGTAGATGTTTAATTCTCAATCCCATTTAGGAAGTTTTTCTAAAACTGCAGCCACTTATAGATTCAAGGGTATACTTCCTTTTTATCCAAGATTTTGTGATAGTCAAACAAGATTCACCTTTGTTGACACATGACAGGTGTTTTTCAATCAAGAGTTGCTTGCAGAAAAATTAATGCATACTTGTATGAGTGGGTGATATGACCAAAAGCAATCACAATATGAATAATTTCATTTCATGATAACATATCACAATATAGTTGTTTTTGCATATAAAAAGGTTGTTGCGATTATTAATATTTTAGGTGGAAATAAAATTATTCTTAATGCCAATTTCGATATCATAGCAAAACCAAATACTAGCCTAACCAAAGTAAAACATTCTCAAACTGAAGACAAGTAAATAGTCTAATAAAAAACTATTTACGAGCAATAGTACAAATACAAGAGAACAGACACGAATGAAATAACAGTCCTTTACGTTTTTTAGGTTGCTCTGTAGCATGCAAATACCGAATTGAGTTCCCTTTTTTTTCTAAATGCATGTTATTATGAACATTTCATCCATGCATATGTTTGTTTGTTTGTTTCTTTTTTTTTAAGACGTTTTGACCTTATAATGTTTAAAGGATTAGTTCACTTCCAGAATAAAAATTTCCTGATAATTTACTCACCCCCATGTCATCCAAGATGTTCATGTCATTCTTTCTTCAGTTGCAAAGAAATTAAGTTTTTTTTTCTCCATATAATGGACTTCTATGGTACTCAACAGTTTGAACTTCCAAATTACAGTTTCAATGCAGCTTCAAAGGGCTCTACATGATCCCAGACGAGGAATAATTGAAACGATCAGTCATTTTCTAAAAATAAAAATGTATATACTTTTTAACCACAAATGCTCGTCCTACACTTGCTCCGTGATGCGCTAATGGCTTCTCGCTGGGGACGTATGGTGGACTTCTCCAATCATTTAGTCCGCTTAAACCCAGACCCTGCAAGATTTGGTTCATCTGCTTCCACTTTTAAATGCAATGCCGACATCTCAAAATCCAATTAACAAATGATGCACAGAACCAAGTCCCATCCTACATTTTTGATAATCATTGCACTCTAATGTATGTCACAAAATGGAAGAAAAGGTCACTACTCACATTTTCTCGTGACTTTAAACTGACAAGTAGAGGTCTGCGCGGGACTGTTTTTTTAGTCCCGCTCCCGCAAGGTTCTATTCCGCACCCACCCGAACACTCTTTGTTCACCCGTTGTTCGCTTAGAATCATTTTCTTCCCGACCTGACTGCTCCCGCTAAATTTAGATCTCGTTTCCAGAATCTCACATTTAAATTGAGAGATGGACTTTTGTTTGTCTTTTGTTTATTATTATTTTGTGCTGTATTCTTGGTTACTGTGTTTTTTCTGTTTCAAAAGCCAGCAATAAATAACACTTTAATATCTAAAAAGTGTTCATGTGATTTTATACATTAGT